GTATCCTGGATCTCTCTTTCATATTCATAAACCGACTTGAAAAAAGAATCACGGTACCGAAGCAATTCACCACAGCTGCGCAATGAACCACATGACTCAGTTCCAAAGTCACAGAACTTGAATAAGCACCTTAGAAATCCAACCTCAACATTTCATATTCTCTAGACCAGGGGGCAGCAAACATTTTCTTAAAGGGCCAGACACTGGACATTTTAGGCTGTGGGAACCACAGGTCTCTGTCACTGCTACTTGACTCTGCCACTATAGCACAGAAGCAGCCCCAGACAATACAGCAACAAATGGGCATGGCTATGTTCCAACAAAACTTAATTTATGGACACTGGCATTTGAACTTCCCATGTTCACGGGTCACTAAAATCTCCTTTTGATTTTTTTTCAACCATTTAAAAATGTAAAACCATTTTCAACCTGTGAGTTGTTCCCAAACAGCCAGCAAGCTGGGTTTTCCGATCCCTGCTCCAGACCTCCAAGTTCATGCTTCTTCAACCACGTCACAAAGTCTCCCTAGTAGTCATGGACACATGGTATGGAGCCCAGTGGTCACTTACAAATCAGGTGAGAAATAATCCCACGAGCCCGTTTTTATTCGCTCAACTTGAAAAAACAAAGATACTAAAGATGTCAAACTTTTGCCGGAACACATGCCAGTCTTAGCACAAAAACACATGCCAGTCTTAGCACAAAAATAATGTCACCCATCACCCCTTTCCTCACCACGCACAATTGACAGTTCACGGAGTAAGAAAACAGTTGGCAGTTGTCTTCATAGATGAAGTCAATGTAGTCTCATTCCTTTGCCAAAAGGCAGGGAAAGCAGTTCCTGATGGCTCTTCTCCCCAGGGCTATTCAAGGCCAGCTGATGCAGAATGACTAGGAAGGACAAGCTTTGGCTTCAACGTGGATTTTTAACCAGGACTCTCACTACTTTAAAAAAAAATGTTTAATTTTTTTTCAAAAAGAGCCTTGGCTTTTGCTATTTTTACTGACAGTCATTTTGAAAGTAGCAGTGCTGAAAACATTTTAAGTCTAGATATCTCTATGGAAACCCAAGAGAATTCACATTTTATGGCCAAATGACTACCTACCTAGATCCTCTCGGATCACTATAGGCCATCTGTGAAACCAGAAACGGCTTAGACCTATTTTCCCAAAACTCTATCTTATCAGATATATAATTAAATTGATATAATTATTACTTTTGCTGAGGAAAAGATTAGGAGAGAACTTATTTCTGAGGCTGCCTTTTGATTTTTAAGACATCCCTATTTAAAATATTATTAGGAAAAGAATTTGTAAAGAATTTTATAAATTTTGGCAGACGTAATAAAAGAGGAGGAACGCAATCAAATAATTTAACAGTTGGTTTGAAATATATGTCATTAATTTTCTTCCCCCTCCTTTCCATCAATGTTGAATACATTTTCTTTTAAAAAATGTAACAGTTCCTCTCCCCAGACTGCATATTCTTTGCAAGGGAGGGGAAAAAAAACAATAATTATTTGGCAAAGAAATCAGATAACACTTTCACCAGGTAACCAAAATTAACATCACCAGCGAGGGACAGATGGCCTTTAGGGGCCTCCAGATGCAACACTCTGAGAAGAACATAATATCACCTAGAATGCAAAACCTGAATCTAATCATGAGGAAACACCATTATAAAAAAATAAAAAGAAAGGAGGTGGAGCAGAAGGGTTGTATTATTTTTAAAATGTCAATGTCACAAAAGACAAAGAAAGGCTGTGGAAATGTTCTAGAATAAAAGAAGCTAAAGATACATGAAAATCAAATGCAATATGTGACCTCAGAATGGATCTGATATTGCAGGGGGGTGGGGAAAATTCTCTAAAGGAGGTGAAGGGGTCAACAGACAAAACTGGACTACAAATAGTATATTAAAGTATTATATCAATGTTAAATTTACTGATGTCAATAACTATACCATGATTATATGAGAATTATATAAGAATGTATGATGTATATAACTTTCTACTAAATGGTTCAGAAAAACATATATTGATATATATGTATTTATATATATATATTTATATATACATATTTTTATATATAGAGAGAGAATAATAGATATCAAATGATAAATCTAAAGGTATAAAATGTTAATAGGTTTAAGGAATAAGGGATATATAGGTATTTCTTCAACTCTTCTCTAAGTTTGAAGTTATTTCCAAACAGAGTTTAAAGAAAAATTAACAGTTCTTGCCTGAGTTGGAGTTCTTGGCTATCTATTTTCTCTCCATGATATTCCAAATACAACACAGTACGGGAGAGTGCCAAGTCACAAGAAAACACAGATATTTTAACATGATCTTTTATCAGTGACTGACGGTGCCAAAGCATTACACACCACCCATTCTCAGCAGAGTCCGGTGCACAGACCGGTAAACATTGGGTACTCCAGCAACTTAGATGCAATCGTTTCCCACTAATTTCTCCAAACAAGGCTGTGATTCTAAAACCTCTGTGCATCCCACAGCTTGCAGAATTATGTCATACACAAAACAAGCCTCTCAGCTGGTCTCTTTGACACACTACATCAGTATCAATCAATTGGATTCAATCTTTCTAACTGCAGCATTTCAATATTTTAAGCCACATCTAAGTAGCTAGAGAATATACCACTCAGGAAGCAGGATCACCTCATCATACATCCTCAACTCCTCACCACCACTGCCTAACTGCTGTCAAAATCCCACAGCCTTCACATCTGTGAGCCCACAATGGTCCTGTATCAGTGCTGAGGTGCTGACCTCCCATCTTCAGTACTCCATCCAAACTGATTGTTCCCCAAAGCAATGGAGGGAACTGTGCCTAAGACCAAAAATTTAGGAGAGACTATTCTGTAAGTCGATCACTGGAAAGAGAATCCAAAAAGTAATAACCAAAATTAAAATTTTCAGCCATCCTTAGGAATTTGGAATACTTACCCATTCTCCAAAACACAGCAAAGACAGAACATATATATAGTGGTAAGTCTTTTCTGTCCTTCCCTCTTTTTAGTTTTATTATTTTCTTGATCCTTTTAGTAGTGACTATCTCTGGGGTAAAATACCCAGGTACTATTTGGCTTTGGCTTTTTATCCCAGATATTCTCCTTATTATTAATTTTTCCCTAAATTTCAATCAATAATTTTATTTAACAAATGTTTACCAAGAACCTACTTGACATAAGATGCTTGGCTGAACTTAAAGGGTGGTACTCCCCAGAAAAAAGTTCCCAGGGTTTTTATCTACCAATAATCCCCAAGAAAATGACACGAAGACAATAAGTGCAATGAAGTCTGCTTGCAGAAAAGCGTAAGAAGCAGAAATGAATCATGACCAATGGCAAAAAGGAATAACCTAGTCAAAGCACTAAAATTTAATGAGAAGATCATTTTTAAAGTAGGTGAAATTGAAGGGAAGGTACATGTAACATTATTATAGATTTAAAATCATGCATATTCTTCTCCATAAAACTTCTCAAATGCAGATAAAAACACACATGTACAAAACCAAGCAATTATAAATCCTCTGAAGCATGTAACTGTGATTAACTGCTACTCTTGGCAATATAAAAATACTTTACCACAATTACATTCCAGCCTGTAATGTAATTCAAAACAAACAAGTCAGAGACATCGCTCAAATGGCAGAACCAACAAATACAGATGCTTTGCATCAAGGAAATAAATCCACTGAAGAAATGCAACTGAGGAGCTGCCCTCCAGGGCCTGGAGCTGGGCTTCTGGTGGAACAGCGAGGCCCCCTTCTGGGCAGATGCAGAGCATCCCGGCACGGCTCTGCAAAGCTGCAGTTCATCAGAGGCAACCCCTGCCGCAGTCAGGAAGCATGGATACCTGGGACTTCCTGCTGTGGATACCCTTTGAGGGTTGTGCTGACACTTTCACATTTTAGTTTTGCTTTTTGTTTTTTGCCACGCCGCACGGCATGTAGGATCTTAGTTCCCTGACCAGGGAAGGAACCCTTGCCGCCTGCAGTGCAAGTGAGGAGTCTTAACCACTGGACCTCCAGGGAAGTCCTTTTACATTTTAGATTTTAAATTCTAAATCTGCATTTTTATAAAGAGAAATAATGGTGCTTGATTTCAGATGAAACTAACCATAATTCTGCAACCAGCATTCCCACCACCAAATGGCACGCCCACCCCTTCTACCCCGTTCTGTTTCTTTTTGCCATAATTTTTATCACCCTCTAACATACTGTGTAATGTGTTATGCTCATTATCTGTCTCCTCCTGCTAGAATATGAGCTCCATGAGGGCAGGATTCTTTGTTTTGCTCTCTGCTTCAGCGAACGAACAGAGCCTGGCACAGTTTAGCTGCTCAATAAACAAAGAAGGAGCTGTCCATTTCTGCATTTCTTTTACTGTTAAGACTATTCAGCTTCAAAGAAGGCATAAGTAAGATTTTACAATAGCAGTATGCTGTAATTTTTAAATGATACTTAAGCACTTGCTTTAACAGTATGTATTTTCTCTAAATGCTTTATAAAAGCAAAAGTCTGCTCTAAGGACCACAGAATCACGGTCTATATGTATATGATTCATATACAATTTCCAAGGAAATCACATCCTGCCCCCCACACCCTGGGAGAACATAGTGGCTGCCAAGAATGAAGGGTCCGAGTCTGAAAGGCCAGGCCTAGACCAGGTGTCCATAGGGCAATGCGCTCCATGCAGACACACTAGGTAACTGAGGCCAGATATACACATCCTCTGAAAGTCAGCACTTCCCTGGACCGAGCATAACGATTTTGGCAGGAAGAGCAGGCACTGCTTACTAATTTCTAAAACGTCAATCTTTAATTTTTCCCCTTCTTAAAAATGTTCTTCCAGCTTGTGGAAAATCTAGGAGTTGTTTGCAGTTGTCAGACTTTTTAAAAGTGCTAATTTGTTCCCTTAACGGAGCAAATGATGAAAAACCATTTTCCCATGGATTAAGGACAATATATAAACATACGATTCAACAATGTCAACAGCTTTCTGTCCAAGAATGTCGTCCAGGAACATGAGTCTTTCATTAGAACAAGTTCAAGATTTCTGACATTCCTTTTTCCGAACCTTTGATTTTGGTGCTGTGAAAAGAATAGAAAACAAAAAGAGAAAATGAAGAGGTAGGCCCGTGCAGACTCTCTTCGTACTGATTTAAGTGAAGTACACACATACAGTAGCGGGAAAACTGACCATTTGGATTTTCTTGTTTGTAGAAGGTCTTTAACATCTCCACTGCTTCCTCAGCCCGATATCCAGGGATGCACTGATGAAACGAGAAAGCTGAGAATGAATGTAGGCCTAGGAAAATGTGTATTGTATCCCACAAAAACTGCAATACATACATAATTATGTAAACACATTTCCAGTGTTAACACGCCTTGTGGATATTAGTAACATGGGTAAGGAAGCATATTTCCCCCCAAAAAAACCAGACATATGGTCTCAAACATCTCTCTCGATCAACTAATTATTATTTCTCAATGAACTACTGTGTGATCATAATACAAATCACTAGCTATGTGATCTTGGGTAGGATACTTAAACTTTCTATGCTTCGGTTCCCTCATATGTAAAATACAGGGAATTATAGCAATTAACCCAAAAGGATTTTGTGAGGATTAAATGAGATTAGATAATATAACACCTGTTAAATACCTGGCATATCATTAAGTGCTCACTAAGCACTAAGCTATTTTTATCTGCTGTTCTTTACTGGTGGCCCATTAAGTGTTTGATTCTATAGAGCTAGGGTTGGCAGTCCACAGGTAGAAATGGTCAGCTAAGAATGGTTTTTATATTTTTAAAGGGTTAAAAAATAAATAATATGTGACAGAGATGTAAGTGGCTCACAAAGGCTAAAATATTTACCCTCAGGCTCTTTAAAGAAAAAATCAGTCGATCCTTACTACAAAGGATGTTTTTTTAAGTGTTCAGTTTGTTCTATCTTTGGTAGATTCCTTCAGAGAAGTGATCAACATGTGAAAGAACAGAAATTGTGGTAACAGCAGGGGGATGAAACTTAAACTTGCCTTAACGATAGAGAATATTTAAAAAGAGTGAGCAGATCATCTCAGGCAAAGAGTAGGAATAGGCTTAGGTCGTAAGTGAGAAAACCAACTGATGGGGGTGGGGTGATTATTAAGGGAGTGCAAGGAAAGAAATGAAAGCAATAAAAACGAAGTCAAAATATATAGGGCTTTGAAGGCGTTTGGACTTGATACGCTGCCCCCTTTGGAGGTGCACGAGTGATGCAATGAATGGAGGAGATACCAGGGAATCTTCCATCTGGAAGCAGTGCCCAGGAGAGGATGGAGCCAGCACTGGGCCGGCGAGTGTGGTCCACTGCTCAAGATGAGCCTCCCTTTCTCTTGTGCTTCAGCTGGCTCCTGCCTGGGCCCACAAAGCCTGCATAAACCTTCCCCATCAAAACCACCTGCTACAAGTTCGATGTTTTTGGATTCCACGTGTAAGGGAGATCATACAGCATTTGTCTTTCCCTGTGGCTTCTTTTGCTTAGCATAACACCCTTGAGGTCCAGCCATGCTGTTGAAAATGGAGGAATTTCCTTCTTTTTTTATGGCTGAATAATATTCATATATATATATGACCATATATACAATACTTTCTTTATAGAAACAGAGAGTAGAATGGTGGTTGACAGGGGCGGAGGGGGTGGGGGAAATGGGGAGACTTTTGTCAAAGGGTACAAACCGTCAGTTATAAGAAGAATAAGTTCCAGCATGGTGACTATAGAGAACAATACTGTATTGTATGCTTGAAAGTCGCTATGAGAGGGGAGCTCAAGTGTTCTCACCATAGCGGAATAACAACAACAACAAAAGAGTAGTTATGTGAAGTGAAGGATGTATGAACTGACCTTATTGTGGTATAAACATTTTGCTGTATACATGCATCAAATCATCACACTGTACACCTTATAATCTCACAATGTTGTACGTCAATTATATCTCAATAAAGCTGGAAAAAAAAAAAAAACCGATAATCTTCCTTCTACCCTGTCCCCCACGCAAGCTGATACCCTGCTCCTCCCAGAGAACGTTCCCGAATCGTGGCCGTCACTTTTGCGGCTCTCAGTTCCTCCCCAACCTCATCCTCACCAGCTTGTGCTCCCAGGACTGCCCTCTTAGATATCTCAAGGGCCCCTATTGACAAAAACACTGGTCTTTTTACTCTCCTCAACTCTCTGCAGTCGTGGAGACTCCTGGCTACACTTGCTTCTCTTTTGAACCCTCTCCTCCCTTGGCTTCTCAGTACTTCATCTTCTAACCATGTTGGTGAGTACGGCGTTTCCTACACTGTTCAGTGTTCCTGTCCCCCGGGTCCCCCACCTCTCCTCATTGTCTCACCCACCTGCACAAAGCACTCTCCTCTCAGGTAAAGTTAGAACCTTGGTTTTCCACCTTGGCTGCTCAGTGGAATCACTTGGGAGCTCACTAAAAAAATACCAATGCTCCCCCTCCCTCCACGGCTTCCGATTCAGTGGGTCTGGGGTGGGGACCAAGCACAGGCTTGGGTCCAAGCTCTCCAGGTGATTCTAATGTGCACTCAGGGACCAGCCTCACTGAGTTACAGGTGGAGAAGGAAACTGGATCCCTCTAAGCTACCAAGGTAATCGTTTCGGGCATCTAGTATAGCTACAAATTTGTGGCTTTAACAAAAAGCACATATTCTTAATTAAAATAATTTTTTACACAAGGCAGGTAAAGTAAATTAATCACCATCTTCTTTGAAAAGAATAGTTCTGTAGGTCTCCTCTATGAACTTTAATGCTGTTTATAATACAGTATTAAAAGAATCTATAATTCTGCAATACAAAAACAGCACCCCACCTCCCACAAATTCCCACCTCACCCCTACCCACACCCTAAGCCAACCAAATAAAAGTAGAAAACACAGCATCCAGAAGCCTGGGGTATCGATAGTTTCTCTAGAATCTCAAAACACTGTAAAAAAAAAAACAACATATTTTGGCATCAAATCTGGAGATGTGGCTTCAAACCATGGCCATTCATTTTGATGGAGCCAATCTGGCCAGGTACACACACTGCAAGTGAACTTATTTTTTGGTTCAACCAGATACTGTTGGATTCTGTGCAGGGACGTGCAGGAGAGGATAGTGTGCACTCAATGTTCCCCCATGTCTGATATCCAATAGCTCATCTTTGTTCTGCCCAGAAGCTTTGAGAAATTCTCTAGATCTTTCTCATAAATGAAGTAGAGTCAGCAATTCACTTGCGAAGAGTTATGTAAGCAAAATTTGAGCTACTGATAGAAGCAACTGGAAAAAGCAAATCACTTTGCATATTTTTTTAATGATCAAGCTAACTGTATTGCTTACTCTCCATCATTCTATTACAATTTCTTTTCTGATGTGATGTCAAAAGTCATCTATTCTCAAAAGTGCAGGAGTTGTTAAGAAAGCCAATGTTCAGCTGGCAAAACTCAAAATAGAATGTTTTCCAAATCTTGTTCTCAGTGGGATTCAGCCAAATTTAGCCCTTCATAGGTACTTAATATTCTCCCAAGAATATCTGAGGTCTTTGTTGTTAACTACCCACCATGTCCAGCAATTTGTTAAGTCCTTTTCTTTTTAAAGCATAATACTTTTAGGATTAACCTTACATCTGGAGAAAAAAACAATCAAACCAGTTTATGGAAACTGGTATTTGTCTACAGACCAAATGCTGAAATATAAATTCCTACTGTTCATAGCCTTAAACATAAAAACTTTGGGAGAAGTGGCAAGGTTAAAGGGAAAGTAGAATTTCTAAGTGGATTCTTGGGCCTGGGGGAAATTTCAACATTAAAAAGGCAGGAAAAAAAAAAAAATGAAAACAGGTATCCATTGCTAGGCACCAAAAATAGTACAGGGCAATCAAGCAAAACGACTGACTTTGTGCAAAATCATTGTACATTCACTGTAAATAGCATCTACTGTTACCAAGCCTCACACAGACTTGGTACAGCGTGGAGCCAGGCATACGCATGGATGGAGAACGCCCACAGTGGCAGGGTCCTCAAACAGAGCTGAAGGCATGGGTGAAGACTGTTAGAGGAAAACTCAGAAGGCTGGGGACTCTCCTTCTGGAGGAATTCTGTTAATTAAGAGAGCTGAGCACTCACCTGGAAATGATTACCTGTGGTCTTACACTGAGGCATCAATGACCTTGACCAGAGCTCCCGAGAGCCCACCTGGTTCTAGCGTGGCTTCTTGGTATACCGAGCACACGCTAACTATTTGCAAGCCCATCGTGAGATCACAGTAATTAGAAAGAAGGAAAAAGTGTAACAGTTCATGTTACCTGAAATGGTCTCCCAGTATTCGGTAGATCAGCAGAGGCAATATCTAGAACAGAGCCACAACCACCAAATCGTTCATTCTGACAGCCATAGACAACCAGCGGGATTTCTAAGGAAGAATTAAGGTCCTACAAAGAGTGTGCAGTTCAAGTGCCTACTGTGACAAAACTAGGGTGGGTTTATACCAGCTAGCCTGGAGAGGAAAGGCTATGCTACTCTTAAAAACAATTAAACTGAGACTTCCCTGGTGGTGCAGTGGTTAAGAATCCACCTGCCAATGCAGGGGACACGGGTTTGATCCCTGGTCTGGGAAGATCCCACATGCCGCGGAGCAACTAAGCCCGTGCGCCACAACTACTGAGCCAGTGCTCTAGAGCCCACGAGCCACAGCTACTGAAGCCCACGTGCCTATTGCCTGTGCTCCACAACAAGAGAAGCCACTGCAAGGAGAAGCCCGCTCACCACAATGAAGAATAGCCCCCACTGGCCACAACTAGAGACAGCCTGCATGCAGCAGCAAAGACCCAACGCAGCCAAAAAATAAATTAATTATCAAAAAAACAGCCACACTTATCAAAAAATAATTAAACTTAGGCTTCGTCTTAAAAATCCAGTTACACAATCCAGTTACACAAAAGAAAGAGATTTAAAGAATATAGAAACTAATGTGTCACAACTGCAAACGGAATGAAAACTGACTGTGTAGCTGCTGAATGCTCAGAGCTCGGTGCTCTCTCTGATCTTTCCTAGATGATTTTTTGGAATCATTAGAGAATTGGAGCCAGAAAGGAGGCAGGAATTTAATCCAGGGATTTTCACCTCTTAAAAATAATAGATTTTTCCCTGTTCTTTCCTCAAACAGATACAACCTGTGACCTAGTACAAGCCAGACTAAAGCAGAGCCACTCTGTAAGGCAGGGTGGGCAGAGAGCTTATAAAGCGGAAACTGTACATATTTTCATATTCAAAACCCTCTCTATTATTTTTTAAGTGATTAAATGATTCACACACAGCAAAATAAGTACATAAAATATGCAAGTATGAAACTGAGTTGTTGAATTATCAAATAATTTTTTAAAAGATCTTTAGAGGTTAACTTGCTGTATTCAGTATTTGTGTCGCTTATTCTGTGAAAGACAGAATTCAAAGAGCTGTAACTTTATCAATTTCCCATTTATTTACAATTATAGTATCATAAATGATTTGTTTTTTCCTTTGTATTTACTTCTGACTTAAAATTTTTCAAGCCTTCTACGTAATAGGTATTCCTGGCAAAAATAAACAATAAAAACGTATTAACAGAGAAAGAAAATTTTTAAATCACCTATTATCTCTTCACTAAAGGCAAAACAGATGCATAGTCTTCAGATCTTTTCCTATGCACACTGTTTTATAATCTAATTTATGGTTTATCTTTACCCAACAGTTTGTCATGTGTTTCTTGCTCTAGCTTACTTAATAGTTATGTGTTTATTGATATTAAAAATGAGGTAATTTTATTATTCAAAAATCTTTCCTAAAAATTTTTTGGCCAAGGGATACTGTATTTTATAATGTGCACCTCCTATAATTTGTTTCATAAGTCTCTGTTTTCATGTTGTAGAAATGGGTTATGTCTCTACTATGATGTTTGGCCATTTTTGAGTTCACAGGAAGAGTACGAGACATTAACCCGTGAAGTCAAAGGATACTCATCAGGCGGAGAGCGGCTGCGCACATGATACACGGCTCCACGGTGACGTACAGCACCATGTGTTCAAACACCTCAGAAGGACTCTTGCCATGTCGACGACACCAATCGAGGGCCTGGTCGATGGCCACCATTTCTGCATGTCGAGTAGCCTGAAAGAAGAGGTGCTTGCATTGACCTTGTTGGCTACATGTAACTGTATTTTACAAATATTCAAAAGTAAATATGAAAAATAGGCCTATCATTTCTGCCAGCGTTTTAGCAAATAAAGGTTTCAGGACACCATTAGCAGTTGACACTCTAGTTCCTAGTTCAAGTACCATAACCTCACCAACAAAAGACACCTAATCTGAGATGCCACACGAATTATGCTCTATTTTTAGTTAAGTACCTAAATACTTTAGGGGACACTCTTTCAATTAAAATGCCATAGAGAGATAAGTCTCAAAAAAAAAAGTGTCTGTGGTTCCTGAATATTTCAGGGGACACTTGAAATTTCCCTAAGCATGTGTTCCAGTGACGAATGTTTTCAAGGCTGTCACTGGCCTCGCTCTAAGCAAATCTGTATTCAGAATATCATCACTGGACTGTCACCACTTGTGTCTTCTTCGGGATGAGATTTTATATACTGCAGACTCTAGAGAGGAGCAGAGATCTGGTATCAGTCTCAGATACCTCATGGGAGTAGTTGAGTACAGGAGAAATCACGTAGTCCGGAAGGAACCACACTTCAATCTGAATCCTGACTGTGATGTTACTGATTATACAGCCCTGGGCAAGTTACATAGCTTCTCCAAGCCTTGGTTTCCCCAGTGTAATACTGGATATACTGGTATCTACATCTCATAAAGCGATCTGAATTATATGAAGCACAATGACGCATAACGTGATATATGCACTCTGCTCTGTGATAATTATTGATAATATTCATGATAATCATGTTTATCAATAAACTTACACGGAATGTCAACTATGTATAAGCCACTGTGCTAAACTCTTTGTGGGAAAAAAAGTCTCTGTCCTCAACGAGCATAAAATTTGATGGGACAAACAGAAAGGTGTTAATTTACCTGTGACATAGGGCAGGGTGTGGAAAGTGCTGGCACAGTGGCCAAGGTACCATGGAAGCCAGAGGCAGATGGGAGCATTGCTGGCCCAGAATTAATATAAACTCGGAGCTGGAAGGTGCTTTAGCAAAGAGGTTCCCACACATGGCTGCATACCAGCACCAACTGGGGAGCTTAAAAAAGAAAAGTTTCCCCAACTCGGGTGCTTTTTAAAATTCAGATTCAGAACTACTGAATCAAATGTCCCCATAGTTCTCAAGAAATAATCGTTGACATAAATCACCTCAATCAACTCTTTTACTGCTGAAGAACCAGAAGCTAAGCTACATTAGGAGGTTACTAAAGACACACAGCTGGGAGAGGTGATGGTGGTGGTGACAGAGGGTGATGGTATCAGAGCCAAAAGTAGGATTGGGGTCTCCTCATTTGGGGTCAAGAGTCTTGCTATACTGTGATTATAGGGTAATCTTCTATAGAGCATAGAAAACTAAAAATAAATCCAGGTTAATTTCAAGGTGTGTAAGAAACCCAGGTCACTGGGGGTTTAGATGGATGTTGCTAGGACATTCAGTGATCTCACCTTAACGATATTGTACTGAACTACAAAATACACATAGGGAGATATGACAATTATTTAAAACACAAAATTCCACTCCTGCATAAGAATCTGTATATTCACCAATTGCTGTATTATGGTCTATTACTTATCTCAGAAGCATTTTGATATCCACATAACAATTGCTTCGTGAATCTGGGTTCCTATTTTGCTTGTGTTTCACTAAATCTGAGTTTTCTTTTTGATAGATGTGATGGATGAACTTTAAAGTCCTCACAGCACCAGTTCCAACACCAGCTTGTTCTCTGGCTCCCAAGTAAGATCAAGGTCTGTGTGAGGGGTATTAAAGTCATAAGCTATCCTTGGGTCCACCTAGCACTTTTTATAATCCTAAAACTTGATACTTCATTTATACTCACTGTGACACACTGTTGTGATACCATGTTCAGGAAGTGTTGCCTTAATTCATGAACTTCTCAACCTAACCACAATAAATTAAAGTCACACAAGCTTTTAAAGTGTACCTGTAGATAGAGACAGCAGGTGGTGGAGACTGTATTTCACTGAATTATCTGATTTAGGAATAGCTTCCTTTATACAATCTTTTTATACTTCCATAGCTATCAACTGAGGGTGACTTTTTAATTTACCACAAGGAATACACTATTTAAAGGTACTAAAGGATATGATATGAATTAAATTGATGTGTTTTATAAAGTAGAATTTTCATTAAAAAAATCAACATGTATCACTTTTATAATCAGAAAAAAAGGGCATTCAAAAAAAGAGATGTTTAGGGAAACCATCCTTCCATTGTTACTCACGGGACTCTACACAGACCCATCTTCTAGTCAACTACGATAAATTCATTCCACACCTACCATCACTTCCATATGTCTGCAATTATACTATTCAACTCACATACATTTTTGGTTTGATTAACTTCATTTCTTCCCTTCCCTACAACTTCATTGTTGTAGACCAAAAGGCAGCCAACAGGAACCTCAATATTTTCTAGGGCTTCTTTGGCCTGAAAGACAAAATGGAAAATCTAAGAGGTAATGTTCAAAACATGAAAAGATGGTAGGAGAGAAAAGATGCAGCCTGAGCAGAAGACACACGTACAAACACCAGAACAAAGAAATGCAGGTCAGCCTTCCCTTTTCTCAAACATACTTTAGTATTTAATGCCTTTGTTCTCTATCGTATCCATATTAAGGAGATTCAGGAACAAATCCCCTTCATGGGTCCTGAGTCCCTTGACTTTTTTCTTCTCACTGAAGGGAGAAGTAATCAAAAGACTGCTACTGACTCTTTTTGCTATTGACTCTTTTGTTTTAATTGCCAGGGTCTATGCACCTTTTCTGAGATAGTGTATATATCTGCAAAGAGGCAGGAGAATAAGTAACATTTATAAATCTTTTATTAAAATTCTTTCCTTGTTGAAATGCTACTTATTTTTTTGTTTCTTTAAAAATTACAGAAAATATCCTCTAGAGTTCCAACAGCATAAAGGTGACCAGACTGGATATCTCCCTGTGCCCACAATTTCTGCTCTAAGTGAGACAATAAAGTTTAGGAGCACTCTATACAAAGAAATAGCATAACGACTTTGGAAAACATTTTGGAAGTTTCTTTAAGAAGTAAACATACATATAGCCTGTGAACATATAGCCTATTCTACTCCTAAGTATTTATTTAAGAGAAGGGAATATATGTCCACCAAAAAACCTTGTAAAAGAATGTTCATAACAGCTTGATTCATAATAGCCAAACTCTGGAAATAGAACAGGTGCCCATCAACAAAAGAATGAATAAACAAACTGTGGCATATTCACACAATAGAAGACCATTCAGCAATAAGAAGAAACAAACTACTGATACACACAACAACATGGATGAATCCCAGACATGCTAAGGTAAAAGAAGTCAAACACAAATCATGTGAAGTACTAGAACAGACTAAACTAAACTATGATGAAAGAAATTGGAACGGTGGTTGCTTCATGAAAGGGGATGTGTAGATTGGAAAGGGACACAAGGACATTTTCTGTGGTGGTGAAAACTTTATCTTGATAAGGATGTGGCTTACACAGATGTCTGCATCACTCAAAACTGAATAATACATTTAAGAACTGTGCATCTCACTGTATGTGACGTACACCTCAACTGAAAAACACAAATGAGAAAAATAAGTTTAGGCATAGTTCCATCACCATCCCAGGAATGGCAAACCAATTTATTATATTTGCAAAGTCTCCCCTCTATCAGAGGCTGCCCATTTTTCTTCTAGCGCTATGGCTGAGGGAACTCCAGCAGCTCTGGGGCCCAGGACAGCTAAGGAATACTTCTTCAGGCAGAGAGCAAAAACAGGCAGGTTACCTCTGGGATGCCCTGATACCACAGGTGAGAGAGAACCTTAAATGGGTGCAACCCTTGGACTAGTATACAATCACTGCCACCTCACTACAATTAAAAATCCCAAGTACAGCTGTTTCTAGAAAGGCACAGCATTTCCTACTTTGGCAGGCCGGAAGATCCTTTGGAAGACAAGACTCCCATTTAAGCGGAGGTATTTTCACACACCATAGGGCATATAAAGTGCCAAGTTGAAGACTTAGCTGAAAAAAGAGTGTTCCATCTCCTGCACTAGCCTCTTGCTCCCAGCTACACTATTTACAGTAGCAATAACGTCCTATCATAATGCCAGCGTGGGTTCCTTAGCTGCTTCAAGCTTGCTCAACTGACACTTATCATTTGGCCAAAAGCGCTGAAAGGAGAGGCACGTGGTGGGAGCATATTGTACTTCTCTCCCATCTGGAGTGGTGGGATAGAGCTGGGGCATGGAGAGGTGTAAACAGACAGTATCTGAAGCAATAAGACCGCATTCCTCAGAATTGTGTCATGAACTACCCACAGGCTAGTGCTGTCCCAGTTCTGTAAAAACAGTTAAAGCATACCCAGTTTATGCAAAGTTTGAAAGACTGAAGAGTTCCAAGGTTTGGTGACTATATACAAATAAATATACAAATGTACCACAGGCTACTATACAAAGGAAAGCCAGGAGGAGGACTGACAGCTGGGGAGGGTGGAGACTAAGTACTGGTGCAGTTAAGGCAATCATCGCACAAAGAATGAAATTTAAAGTAAGCTTAAATCACTATTCTGACTTAACTATGCCTGTTTTTGAACTTTATATAAATGGACTCACGGCGTATATATTTTGTTTCTAGCTGCTTTTGTTTCACATGTTTTCAAGTTGCATCCATGTTCATTCCTGTAACTGTAGTTCACTTTCATTGCCCTATATTACTTTGTATGCATATACCACAGTTTATTTATACAATCTGTTGATAGATGTTTGGGTTGTTTCCACTTCTTGATTATTACCAATAATGCCGTATGAACATGTTTATACCTGTCTCTTCAGGTACTATTAATTTCTGTTGAGTATATACCTAACAGTAAATTTACTGGGTTAGAGGCTATTGTGTGTGTTTGCCTTTAGTACAATAGATACTGCCAGTTTCCCAAAGTGGTTGTAATAATTTACATTCCCATGAACAGCGTGTGAGAGTTCCCGCTGCTCTACATCCTCACTGACAACTGGAATTGTTAATATTATTTATTTTGGATATTTTGATGGATATGAGGTAGTGTTTGTGGTTTTAATTTTCATTTCCCTGGTGAGTTAAGAGGTTTACCATTTTTTCGTAAGTTTACTGACATTTGGATATCTCTTGTGAAGTTCCTGTTCAAATATGTTGATCAGTTTTCCTTTGTGTTGTCTTCACAAAAATAAAAAATTAATTGAAGGAAAACAAAATAAAATAAGCTTAGGATGACACATAACCTGGGGTACACAAGAGAGACAAATCATTTTTTCATCCATCAAGTATTTGTTGAGGATCTTGAAACAGGAAAGTTACCCTGGGTTATTCAGGTGGCCCTAAATGCAGTCATAAGTGTCCTTATGAGAGAGGCAGAGAGAAATCTGACACATAAAGTATAAAACACTGTGATGATGGAAGCAGAGAGACAGAGTTGAAGATGCTTCTCTATTGACTTTTAAGATGGCAGAAGGAGCCATGAACCAAGCAAGGAAGGTCGCTCTAGAAGCTGGAAAAGGCAAGGAGACATATTCTCCTCTAGAGCCTCCAGAGGGCGCACAGCCCTGCTGACAATTGGTTTTGGCACAGTGAAACTCAGTGTGGACTCTGGGCCTCCAGAACGATAAGAGAATAAACTTGGGTTGTTTTAAGCTATCAGATGTGCGGTAATTTGTTACAGCACCCATAGGAAACTAATACACCCTGTTAAGAGGAAGAAAAGATAAGCTAAAACGGGAAGAAAATATTTACAAACCACATATTCAACAAAAGTCTAGATCTGGACTATGTAAAGAATGCTCAAAATTCAACAGTGAAAAAAAAACTGTTAGAAAACGGGCAATAGATATTTAAAGACATTTTATCAAAGAGGGCATACAGATGGCAAATAAGCACATGAAAAGATGGTCACAACATTAGCCATTAGCGAAGGCAAATTAAAACCACAATGAGATTATCACTACACACTTAGCAGAATGGCTAAAATAGAAAGTATCAGTGCCAAATACCAGCAAGGCTGAGACACAGGATCACTCATCTATTGCCAGTAGGAATGTAAAATGGTACAGCCACCCTGGGAGATTGTTCGGTAGTTCCTTAAAAAGCTAAACATGCACTTAACATATGACCCAACAATTGCACTCCTGGGCATTTATTTACCCAGGGAAATGAAACCTTATGTTCATACAATACGCAATTTTGTATACAGACATGAATGTTCATGGGAGTTTTATTCATAATAGCCAAAAACTGGAAATGACCCAAATGTCCTTCAAAGAGTGACTGGTTAGACAAAGTGTGCTACATCTATCCATGGAAAACTACACAGCAATAAAAAGGAATCAACTATTAATTGACTCAAAACTTGGATGGATCTCAAGGAAATTATGTTGAATGAAAAAATAAATCCCCAAAGGTGACATAGTCATGTATAAAACATTCTTGAATGACAAAACTACAGGTATGGAGAACAGATAAATGACTGCCGGGGTTTAGGGTTTGGGAGGGATGGTGGCTATAAAGAGGTAGCATGAGGAAGCCTTGTGGTGATGGAGCAGTTCTGGTGGTGATTACACAAAACTAAACAGGTGACAAAATTGCATAGAACTACACATACACACAGACACACGCACATACACAAACGCTTTAAGGTTAGCACATAAAGGTGATGAAATCTGAACAAGCCCTGCAGACTGGGTCAATGCCACATTCCCGGCTCTAATATGTTACTACAGTTACAGAAGATGTTACCATTGGAGGGAACTACCTGAAGGGTATGTGAGCCTTCTCTGTATACTCTGTGGCAACTTCCTATGAATCTGTAATTATTGCAAATTGAAACATTAAAAAAAAAATAAAGGTGGAATAAACAGAGAAGGCTCTTACAATGGCGATTAAGAAGAGATGCCTACTGAGGTCGGAGGAAAACCAGGAGTATCTGGTGTTATGGAAGATCCAAGGAAAAAACTAGGCCAAGAAAGAAGGGTCAATTTGGGTGGAAGGGAGGGAATGAAACCAGTGACCTGAAGAGTGACTTGCCTATACGTTACATTTCTAGCTTCTATTACAACAGACTGTTATGTCTCCATCTCAAGTGTTCCAATTCTGAGCTTGCAAATATTATTAGCTTAGAGCTTACTGAAAAACTTACCTTGATCCAGGACTATTTTAAGCACTGTATTAATTCATTTAGTTTATAACCCTATGAGACTGGTTCCGTGAGCTTCCCCATTTTACAGATGAGAAGACTGAGCCATGGGAAGGTTATGGAATTAGCCCCTGTAAGAGGCTGGGACTAGAGCCCAGGCAATCTGGCTCCATCCACTCACTTGTTCAACAAGTCTTTGTGGAGCACCTACCAGATGTCAGGTTCCTGGGCTCTCTGCCATGGCTCTGTCTCTAATTTCTACTGTAATTACCG